AACCCCGGTTTGGGGTTAAATGGGGTTAACCCCAGTTTGGGGTTAAATTCAGTAAAATGTCTTCTCATGTCCTTTAAGCACTTTTGGACTGGATTGTTTGTTACTGCTGAGTATCGATGGTTCTTTATATATTCTAGCTACTGGTGCTTTGTCAAATAGATGGTTTGAAAATGTTTTTCCCTTGGTCTATAACTTGTCTTTTTGTCCTCTTCACATGAACTTTTACAGTATGAATTTTTGGTTTTTCGATGAGGTACTTTTCTTCCATTTTTCCTTTTACGATTGTGGTGTCAAGTCCAAGAATTCTGCCTAGGATGAGATCATGAAAATTTTCCATGCTTTTTGCCCAAAAGTTTTATGTTTCAAATTTAAGTCGTGATTCATTTTGAGTTAGTTTTTGTGTAAGGTACATGATTTCAGTGACGTTTCATTTCCTTGCCTATAGATGTCATTTGCTCCAGCACCATTTCTTGAAAAAACTATCCTTCTCATCCATCTAACTGATTTCACAGCTTTGCAGTTGCATGTATTTGCATGGGTCTAGTTCTAGGTCTTCTGTTTCCCCATGTGTCTGTCCCCACACCCCGCCCCCCACCAATGCCACAGCTGTGGCGTTATGTGTGTTTAGACTATGCTGTTGGTGCACAGAATTCACAGAATTATCTTCTTATTAATGGATTTTTTAAAAAATGAGGTAACCTTTAGCGCTAAAATGCTTAGTGAACTAAAGTCTATGGCATCTGATATTAATTTGTTTCCCAGTTGTCCAACAAGATCCAGTATTCCTTTATTTCATAGCAATGAAATTCAAGACTTTTACCTGAGCACAGGGTGGCTGAAAATAAGACTATATTCCCTCTAAGTTAAGGATGGCCACAATGTTCGGGACAACGGAATGTAAGAAGCATATCTGTAACATCTGCAAAATGTCTTTAAAGAGATTATGTGACCATTCTTGACCCTCCTGGCTTTCTGTCCACTGGAATGTGGATTTGATGAAGAACTTGAGCAGCCATTCTGGGCCACAAGGTGGAAAGCATGTACTGAAGACAGTGGAACAAGACAGTACAGAAAGCCTGGATCCCTGGTGGCTGAGCAGCCCCACAGTTAACTGCTTTATCTGAACTTAGATACATGAAAAAAATAAGCTTCTGTCTTATGTAAGTTACTGCGAGTTTTCTGTCATTTGTTACCAAACATAATTATAACAAATACAACCAGCTTCATTTTATTTTAGGAGTTTATTTTTTTTAGAGCAGTTTTGGGATTATAATGAAATTGAAAAGATACAGATTTCCCTTATCTCTCACACCCCCACACATACATAGCCTCCCCATTATGAGCATCCCTCACCAGATGGTACAACTAACTTCATTTTCACGTTAATCATAAATGACTGCAGAACCAGAGGCCCAACTACAGAGCCTAAATAAATCAGAGGTTTGTTTCTGTTTTGCATGGAAGTCCAGAGATGACAGCCCAGGGCTGGCGAGGTGACTTGGTGGTTAGGACCAAGTCTCCTCTTACCTTTCTCTGATCCTTTGTGTAGAGCATCTGCCCACGGATCACCTTACAGTCCAGGAAGGCTGCCGCAGCTCCAGCCCTCATTTCTTCACTTAAGATTATAGGAAAGAAGAAGTAAAGAAAGACCCAAGGGGTTTTTCTTAGTTCTCTGTCCACCCTTTAAGGAGTCTTCACACCCACCAAATTTTGCTTAAGACTCATTGGTCTGGAAACTAGTAAGATGGTTGCAGCTAACTACAAAAGAAATTAAGGGATACAGCCTTTGTGTAAAGATTTGAATACTATCAGGGCACAGTTATGGAAGAAGGAATATTGGGTAAGGAATGGGAAGCCTCTGCCTCATCTGGCATATGTATTTCCATCTCTTCCAAATTTCTCTTTTTATGTTTTAGGTGTGTAACTTGTAAGCAGTGTACAGCTAAACCTGATTTCAATCTATCTGGCTGGTATACTCTGTTTATATTTCTTGTGACTGTATGTGTGTGTGTGTTTATATATATATATATATATAAACTTATAGCATGTACTCTGTGCTTCTAATTTTTTTTTACTTTTAATTTTGGGAGCTCTTCCCTTTTATTAGATGATTAAAATTTTCTTTCCCCCTTTGTACTGGTTTGGAAATTATAGAATCTCTAATTTTATTGGTCATCCTTAATTTTTTAACAATCTTATATGACCAATGACCAAAAAAAATATTTAATCCCTCCCAAATAATCCAGGGAGCTTTTCTAACTACCCTCTTCTTAATGTACATGTTGTCATCTGGGGATTCAACCCTGTCAGTACTAGTCGTCACCAACACTATTTTACTTGACAGTGACATTGATTTTTTTTTTAGAGATTTATTTATTTATGCATACAAGAACTGGAGTATAGGCCAGAGGTGTGGGGGATGAGAGGATTCACCAGAAACAGAGTGGGAACAGAACAAGCAGATTGACTGAAATACACTGCTGAGGGGAGCAGCGGGTGAGACAGGAGAGGTCTACTGCGCCATGTGGGTAGCTCCCTGGCTGGGGCTCGAACTCGTGCCCCAGTGGGTGCGGATAGCTTCATAGGTTGCGTCTTAACTCCTTGCACCACCAGGGAGGCCCAGTGACATTGATTCTTTTCTGTTTGCCAGTTGTATTGCGTACCACTTCTGTTTGCCCCTGTTTCTTCCTTCTCAATTTAACTGCCATCTTCCTGAAACACCCTTTAGTAGATCCAGGAGTAGTGAGCTTACTTGGGTCTTGCCTAGAAATATCTTACCCTCCCTGTGTTTATACTGCTGGGTGGGTAGTTGCCCTCAAAACTGAAATGTTTTTCTATTCCACTGATTTCTGATGCTGTCGAAATCCTTAGTCTGTCTGGCTATTGTTCCTTTTTTGACAAATATCTTTCTTCTCTGGTTTATTTTAACATAATCTCTTTGTTTTTATCTCTACACTGCCCTCTATAGCAGATTTAATGTTATTTATCTGTTCAGGACTTAGGTTTCCTGCAGCTGTGTCTTTGATCATTTCTGGAAAACACTTCGCTAGAATCCCCGTGAATTCTGACTCCAGTCTCTAGTCCCTTACCGTCTTTGGGCATCTTGGCCCTCCTGCTCTTCCTCCATACCACAACTTCACATTCACATCCCGTTAATCTCTCTCTCTCTCTCTCTCTCTCTCTCTCTCCCTCTCCTGCATCCTGTGTGATTTCCTGCCAGCACTATTCCAGGTTCCTGATTCCTTGCTTCAACTGCTTTTTTCTGCTTTTCACCATTTGTACCATGTATTTCAATGCTTATTTTCATGTCTAGAAATTGCATTTGGTTCTACTTTTTCATAATCTTTTGTTCTGCAGTTCTCATTTTTTTATATTATTTGACTCTCATCAACCTTACTTCACAGTGGCCTAGATGGCTGGTCTCATCTCTCCCGCTCTTGGTGGTTCTCGTCTGCTGTCGTTCTGTTCCTTTCTGCTGACTCCAGCAGGATCGTTGCTTGTGTGTTTTGTAATTTTGGATCTGGAGTTGTCTTCAGAGCAGTTGTTTCTTTTTCTCCGGAAGAATTCTGCGTGCGAGAGAACAGAGAGTACCCCAACAGAGCGGTTTCATGTTTGCGTCTGCCCTTGGCCCCCAGGATCTCACAAGCCTAGGGTTTTCTACGGATCTCTTGGCTTGTAGTAAGTAAAAACTTGGCTTGGCAAGTGAATTGAGACTTGATACAAGCGCAAAGCTGGGTTCTCACCAGAGACTCCTTTCCTGCCTCTCCCGTCTCCCTCCTCTGATGGGGGTAATTTCTAGTTGGGGTCTAATAGTTCCCTCCTCAGGGTCTTTCTACAGAGAGTCAGTCCTTTAAGGGGCCTCACTCCTGAGCCCAATGGGAGCGACACCTCAAGCACCAGCTGCTCACAAGTGCACTTCCCTTCCAGGGCATCAGCTCATCCACACCCCTTTATCTCTGAGCGCAGGACTTTCTGTCACACTCTTTCAGCCAGGCAGTGCAAACATCAGATCGCTTTTTATCCAGCATTTCTTGGTGTTTGTGGTTGCAGAGTTTCAGTTTTCACTTACCTGCTTCCTGTCTGACCCAGAGGCTCTATGTTCAACTTCCCAGCCCTCAGTTTTCCCCTCTGTAAGGAAACAGCACCTCCTTTGTGGGCTTGTTGTGAAGAGTCAAAGGGAGAAGCAGGTCAAACACTTAGCATGAGGCCTGGCACATGTTAAGGACTTAATACATGAGTGTCATTGTTATTCTAGAACATTTGGGACGTTTGGAAAAGCATAAAGAAGATACACGCCATCCATTGGAGCTTTACATCAGCACTTGAGTGTATCACTAACTTCCTTCTGCTTCATTTCTTCACTGCTTACAAGACCAAGGTGGCGTCTTACGTACAACTTTGCATCTGCTTACCTCATTTGATTCATTTCTTAGTTGGCTCAGGCTGCTGTAACAAAACACCACCGAGTGGGTGACTTGAACAGCAGTTCTTTATTTCCTCAAGGTGCATGAGGCTAGAAGTCTGAGGTTGGGGTGCCAGCGCAGTGGGGTTCTGGTCAGGGCCCTCTTCCTGGCTTATAGACAGCCTCCTTCTCCGTATGGCCTCAGGAGGAGATCAAGAGCAGAAATTCTTTCTTCCTAGAAAGTCATCAATCCCATCCTGAGGGCCCACACTCAGGATCCCCCACAGGCCTTGTCTCCAAATCCCAGAGTCAGGGCTTCAACACAGGAGCTGGGGGAACACAGTTCACCTGTAGCAGCCAGACTTCCCTAGGTACAAGCTGCCCCTTGCTGGGAAGCCCAGCTCTGACCATTGATCAGATTTGCATTCTCCTTCAACAGAGCTCACCTCAGCAGGAAGGTCTAGGGGCCTGAGAAGCTGGGAAGTGTGTGCGTGGAGTTTGGGGAATAAACTGAGCATTCCTGCAAGAGGCCACCCCCCAGGTGCCAGGCCTGAGTGACCTGTGCCCTCTGCTTCTGCCCCACGTCCCTCCCCTGCAGGTCATCACCACAGGGCTGGAATTTTCCCCTCTAGTCACCTTTCAGCTCCGGGCCGGCTCCGGACCCGTGTTCCTCAGTGGCCTGGAAAGTTATGGTAAGTCCCAGTCTGGGCTGGAAAAGGTCTGACAGCAGGGTGCCTCCTTCAGGGCCCGTCAAACATTAAGGACCTGGGCCTCTCTGGTGGCACAAGGGGTTAAGTCTCAGCAATGTGAAGCTATCTGCAGCCACTGCGGCATGAGTTCCATCCCCGGCCAGGGAGCTACCCACATGGTGCAGGAGACCTCTCCTGACTCACCTGCTGCTCCCCTCAGCAGTGTACTTCGGTCAGTCTGCCTATTCTGTTCCCCACTGTGTCTCTGGTGAATCCTCTCACACACACCCCCTCTGCAACTCTGGCCTGTAACCCAGCTCTTGTAAGCACAAATAAAATAAATCTAAAAAAAAAAAAAAACCCACTGAGGTACCTTGAGCTGTCAGGGAGATTGCCCAAAGGCAAAGCATTGCCTCTAGCTTGGACTGGGAGGCCCTGCGCGGGCTTCTGGCCCCATCTTCACCTCCCCACCACATTCTTGGTGGGGTACGACTGGCTCATTTTCAAACTGTAGTTGTGAGAATAAGTCAGATGCTCAAGCAAAACATGAGGTGTCACGTCTAGTATAGACCCTGACTTCAGTGTCGACTACTGGAAGCTTTGGCTGTGCTGGTAACTTGGTCCCCAGTAAATTGGGGTGCCAGCCACTCTTACCACCCCTCAAACTGGCCCATCACCATCAGGGACCCTCTCCTGCCCCAAACCCTTCCAGGTTCCACTACCCTTAGGACAAGATCTGAATTCCTCAGCTGCTGTTTCCCCTTCCTGCCCCGTCACACAGCACCCACCCTCACCTCCACCCCCACCCCTTCCAGTGTGGCTCCTCTGCCTCCTCCCACCCTCTGGAGCCGTCCTGGGTCCCCCACTTCAGCCTCCACCTGGTCAGGGAGGCCAGAAGGGCTGCACACAGGTGGGGACTGCTCCCCGCGCGGCTTCCCCAGAGCAGGTCCCCAGCAAGAGCCCAGGGATGGACCCAGGAGGCACCTGTAGTGTAAAAGCCTTTCTCGTGCCATCGCAGACACCTCAGACCTGTCCTGGGAGGAGGAGGAGGAGGAGGAGGAAGAGGAGGAGGAAGCAGAGGAGGAGGAGGAGGACACAGATGCCCTGGAGGAGGAGGCCCCTGTCAGACACACCAAGAGGCTGGCGCCCCAGAAGCAGGCAAACCTCGCCAAGGTGAGAGCAGGATGCTCAGGGCTCCTCAGGCAGCAGGCAGGACACAGGAGCCCCCGCCAAGCCAAGCCCTCAGTGGGAGTCGGTTCAGCCCTGGGCCTCACCCTAACTCTCCTAATAATGCATGTTTTGCTCCTCAGAAGAAAAGGATGGAAAAAGACGAGGCAGTGAGGTAACACCCTTCATCTATTAACTTAGCTGAGATGCATGTGCTGGAAATAATAGGGAGTACCTGTGTGTGCATGTGTGCATGCGTGCATGTGTGTGCGTCGTGCGTGTGTGTGTGTCTGTGTGCATGTGTGTCTTCACGAGAGCTGCCCAGGGAAGCCAGGCACACGAGGGGGCTGCCACCAGGGGGCACAGCCTTTTTGAAAAGCACTAAATTGTTGTTATCTTCTGACCTAATTCCACTTATAAGTTTCTTTCTAAGGATGCCCTCCAAGACAGCATATGAATTGTATGCTCTAAGAAACTATCGCTTCATTCAAATAATAGTGGGACATGGAAGCAGCCTAAATGTCCACCGACATCACAGTAATAAGCCATGTCACATCTTCTCCCTGGAGGTTCCCTAATGCCCGGAGAGAAGACAGCAACCTGGAAACTGTTTAAAGAATTAAAAGAACAGGATAGTCCCTCACTGTTCATTTTATCTCAGATGTATTTAGAAAGAAACAAACAAAAATCCTGAAAGGAAATACACCAAACCGTTAATATTGGTGAGAGGTAGAAAAATAGTCATTTATTCCGTTTGCTATATTTTGTGCCATGTGGTTAACATTACTTCTATAATAAAAAAGGCATATTTGTGATAAATAAAAGAAAGCAGATGGAAGGCTGAGAGGAAAAAAACATCCTGTTTAAAAAGAGTCAAAGAGGTCCTGGCAGGCAAGGTGGGGCGCTGGACCCACAGTCCCCCTCCCTGGCTGCACCCCGCTCCCAGGAGTGGGCACCGGCGGGTTCCTGGCATCAGGCTGAGTGTTCTCTTTCCACCCCACCCCCACTCCTTGCCCAACCACCCCAACTGCAGACCTAAAGACAAGAGCCCTATGAGAAAGGTGAGTACTGAGCAGTAGGGGCTGGACCTCCTTTGGGGGGTAGGTCCTCTGGAAAGCAGGAAGGGGAGACTGGAGCCGTCTCTTCTCTCCATAGGCCAACATCACACCCAAACCTAAAAAGCCGGGATCCAAGAAATGATGAGCCTCCATAATGAGAACCAGTGAGACCACCCTGCAGAGTGACCACAAGCCTCGGTGGTGCTACCCCCCCAAACCCCCTCCATCTGAGTCTGAACGTGATGCAGGTGTTGGGGGTTGAACACAGGAAACTCTCACCCCAACTCTCCAGTTTGCCTGAGGAAAGAGCCCAGACCTCAGGGCCACAATAAAATGTGCTTTGCCAGGACCTTTTGTCTGCAGCCTCTTCCCAGGAGCTGGCCTTCTGGCTGACCGCAGTGACCCTGTGTGTCCAGCAGAGGGCAGCATGGGCCAGCACCCTAAACTCTGGCAGCCGGGGCGCCAGCCTGAGGGTGCCTTGCAGGGCCTGTGCAGTGGCTGCTCTTTCATCCCCCTCTCCTCTCCTGGCACCTTCACCCCCAACTCTGGGGAAGAGCCGGGTGTCGGCCCCTGGCCCAGCGTCAGCCTCTGCCCTGGACTCGAGGAAGGGGCCTAGAACTGCACCCACGCACCCATCTGGCAGCGTCATGTCTCCAGGCACAGAATTGAAGTGCCCATCCTGTCCAGAAGGGCCTTGGCCCTGGGGGGAGGGGGGGCAGCCCGAGTGTCTCCCCCACCTCAGTCAGTGGGCAGGTGCACCATGAATCTATGGGAACCTCAAAGCCACAGCCATAGTGCTGCTCTCCCAGACTGGCACCTCCATTTGCAGTGAGCTTCAGGTCCCAGGGACCACACTCATGCAGATTGTGTCAGGCAGGAGCCCTGAACCCGTCCCTTCAAGAAAACCCTCCCAGGTGGGAGAGGCGGGTAGGCTTCGCAGAGGCTTTAAAAGGTCCCTCACAGGAGATGGGCAGAGGGACACTTCCTACTCCCTTGTGGGGCTTCCCCTGGATGACTTGGGGCTCAGTAAATTGTTGGGGTGAGATCCACAGAGGCCTGAAAAGGGGTTAACTCACCCACTGTGTGGCTCTGGCTTCTGCCCTCCCAGGCCTGCAGAGCCACTTTGGCAAGGGGCACGCTGGGTAGCTTGTATCAGCCCATTTCTCAGAGGTGCCAAGTGAGGCACAGAGAGGTTAAACAAGTTGTCCAAGGTCACACACCTAGTGGAGGAGCCAGGAGTCACGCACAGGCAGTCTGGCCAAGAGTCCTTGTTTGTAGCTCTGTGTGGGTGGGAGGGAGAGATGGACAGCAGCCAGGATGCTGGGAAGCTGATAACAGGAGTCAGAATGAAATGCGCTGTGTAACTGGAGCCTGATTGTAGCACAGCCCCATCGGCAGGTACTTCCCTTCGCTAATCCTGGGCGAGTGTCCCAGTTCTCTGGGTACTTCACAGCTAAACCCTTGGTAATTTGATTTCAAAGTGCTGGTAGGCAGGAGGGATCAAATAGCAAAGATGGTGGGGTCTTTCTGCATTGCTAGGGTGCCCTTCCCCAGGGCTTGCCCTTCTGCTTTTCAGCAGGAGAAGGGTGGGCTGGGGTGGAAGCAGGTGGTGACAAGCAGCAGGTCCGCAGGTGGGCTCCGCAGGCTCTGTCTGCCCCAGCTGGGCTGTTAGGAGGAGCAGGCGTGAGACGCCCCAGTTGGGGGGTGTTGAACTTGGCACTAGGGGGTGAGGATTAACCACCGCAGCCCAGGCTTCTTCTCACTTCCCTTATCACCTCCTGTCACTCCCCCCATAAATGTTAATGAACCCTCTCCTCCCCTACTTCCAGCTCTAGGGAGAGTCAAAGTTTGGGTAAACTGAGGCTGAACCACATAAAGGGTCTCTGCCCCCTCCCCCACCCCCACCCCCTTGCTTCTCGGAGCACGCCCCTGCCCTCAGCTAACACTCCAGCGCAGTCTTGACATACGCAGCAGTAACCATTCCCTTTTAGAGAGGGGAAGCTGAGGTCAGAGAAGTGAAGGGACTGGCCACAGCTCAGAAGCCTGGAGAACCAGGACGGGGGCTGGAGGGCCTGGGATACCTCCACAGTCCACCTGTCCCCCACTTAAGGCTTGCCCGGGCCCTCCCGTGGAGGGAGAGGGGTCGTATGCTAGACCCACAGGTGCAGAATGAGAAGGGACAAGACATTCCTGTGAAACAAGCTACCCAGCGTGCCCCAGGGCTCCCAGCAGTCCCAAGGCTGAGCTTGATTGCTGGCATCTTGTCCCCAAGGAGATGGGGGTGGGGTGTGAGCAGGACAGATGTGGCACATGGAAATGGTCAGGAGGATCAGCACAGGTAAAGGCAGAAAGGTGGGGGAGGGGGCGCTGGGGGTGTCTGGAGCACTAGATGGAGTCTGGGTACCCGGTGCCCAGTCCCCGCTGTGCCACTAACTAGCAACCAGCCCTGAGACCTTTGTGGGTATTGGATGAGGCCGGGCCAGAGGGGGGCTCTCTGCGCACCCTCTGGTTTGACATTCTCTCTGTCTGAGTCCCTGTTAAGCAGGGTCCCCTGACAGGGCCCTCTCCCTGTGGGGTGCCTGGAGGGGGCGGGGCTGGACACGGTCAGCGCTGCCAATGTGTAGGGGAGGTGGCAGACAGCTTTGTGGATTGATCTAGCTCAGGAGGTGAGAAGGTGGCCTGGAGGTGAGAATTTCGGCTTCCCACTCATCTCCTTGGGTAAATAAATCCCCATCCAGCACTTCCCCTTCTCTTCCTATCCCAGGGGCTCGGAGACCTCCAGGGAGCCTGAAGCCCAGGAGGTGTGAGCTCTGCTTCCCTGGACCAGGGTTCCCCCGCTAGGCACTCACCCCTTCTGCAGGGAAGGCACAGCTGGAGTGCCCTCTGACCTCTGTGCTGGGCCCCCAGGGCTGAGGCTCAGTGCAGCGGAGGCTGCAGCCACAACCCTGGGAGGAGGAAGAGCTTGGACTTGGAGACCTGCTGACCCCATTCCCTAGCTGGGCTGGCTGGGCAAAGCAGTCTCCCTGCCAACGTGCCTCAGTTTCCTCGCCCACAAAGTGGGGTGATCAATGACATGGTACAGAGAGTGTTTAGAGGCCGGTGGGCACTTCAGCCCAGGCAGCTGCTGGCAGGGGCCGGGGCGGAGGGTGGTGGGGGAGGGCTGGGAGCCTGGAGGCCAAGAACATATTCTACCTTTTGACGTCCCATCTGTGAGGCTTTCTGGTTTGTTCTCCTCTGTCCCGACACCTCACTGCCCACCTCGCGGGGGAGCAGCCAGGGCCCGAGGAAAGTGTGCTGACCGCACAGCACCACAGCTCCTCTGAGTGTCTGTCTCAGGTCAGTTTTCCAGACCCCAAAGCCCGCGCTGTCCCTAGCTCCCCAGCCCGGCCCCCAACCTGTTGCACCCACTATGTGCCGTCAGTCACTGCAGCCTGAACTTCTCCTTCCTGGTGGCCAGACAGCAGATGGGGGAGCGAGCAAGGGGTGACAGAAGCAGTGGCAGCCACCCCTCCCAGCCAAGCCCACCTCCTGCCCCCTGGAGGGAGGCTCCTCCTTTTAAGGCTGCTGCTGGGAATTTCTACTCCCGAGCCAGACCCAGCAACCTCCGGGCTGGATGGATACCTGCGCTCCCCCTCGGGGAAGTGGGCGCCAAACCTGAGGGCAGCAGAGGCTGACCCTGAGGGCAAGCAGGGGCCCTCCCCTAGGGTCCCAGAGGGTCAGGGATCACACGGAAACAGCCTTTTCCAGAAGGCTCCGGCGGCTCCATCCTCTGTGCTTGGGTAGCCCAGCCAGAAGCTGGCAGCCCCGCCAGCAGCTGCTCTGCAGTCTCACTGGCCAGGAAGGTGGACACCTCACACCTCAGTCTCCCAACTACGCCCACCCCTTCCTCCTCCTCCTCTCTCTCCTCTCCTCCTCCGCCCTCTCTCCTCCTCTCCCCCCTGAAAACCTGTGGCTTGAAGAGACCTTGGCTTCTCTGGGACTCTACCCCTGGGGACTGCCCACATCTGCTCCAGAGTGTGGGAGCAGGGGGGGCCACCGCCCCAAGGATCTCTCCAGCGATGGGAGCCGCCCGCCTGCTGCCCAACCTCACTCTGTAAGTGCGCTGCTCGCCCGCTGCAGTTTCCTTGCCAGCCCCGGCCTGGGGCAGACCCAGACCTCCCGGGACTCCCACGCGGATGGACGGATGGACGGATGGACGGATGGACGGGGCGGGGTGTGGGCGGGGGGCCAGCTCCGGGGGGCCCGGGCTGGCTGCTGGCACCTACACCTGGGTCTGCCTTGTCTCCCCACACAGGTGCTTGCAACTCCTGATTCTCTGCTGTCAAACACAGGTAGGCGGGTGCCCCACTAGCTCGTCCCCATTTCTCCCACACCACCTCATGGGGTGTGGGGGGGGTCCTTGTGGGTGGACAGAGGCAAGTTCTGACCTCTCCCTGGGTCCAGGAGGCTCTGAGGTTTGTGGGGTGGGGGGTGTGGGTGTCCGTCTTAAGCAGGGCAAGAGAAGTGACTATGGCAGAGTTGGGGACTAACCCTCTGCTAACCCTCCCCACTTGGCCTGGGGTCTCTGCTTCTCGCTCCGTCCTCCACACTGGGTTTCCCCCAAGGCTAAGTGCAGGGGGCAGTCAGGCCTGCGGGATGGAGCCCGGGAGCGACCGGAGAAGATGATAGCCCAGCTGAAGCGTGCACTCGAAAGGACAGGCTTCCACCCAAACCACTTGTGTGTTGCACTTGCCGCCCCGTTCCCACCCAAAAGCACCCACTATGTGCAGCCAGTCACCGCAGGCTCGCTGCCGCGGGGGTCGCGCGGGCAGTCAGAAGGCCCGGCCGGCTCGGGAGCGCCTCACCTACAGGGCAGTGAGGCCAAGCCCAGCAAGGTTTGTTTGGGGCAAGATTCAGGGTTTGCTTCCCCGTGCTCCCCCCAACCCAAGTCAGCCACCCCCGGCCTCAGCTCTCCGTGCGAGGCTCGGTCCCTTTTTGTGATCCTCCATAAAAGTGCAGCTATTAAAATGCACTGGTCCAGAACCGCTCTGGGGCGAGATCGCTTGGCTTTCCCAGGCCAGAGGCCCGCTTCTCTTCATATCCAGTGGGGACTTTTTTTGAAGGTAAATGCCTTTTCTCTGGGAGAGGGAAAGGGGCTGCCTTTGAAGCAGTGGGGGGGTGGGAGAGAGAGAGACAACTCCCCCCCTTTCCTTCCCCTTTTGCTCTAGCCCCGTTCCAGGCCTTTTGCTTCACACATCCAGGGAGAGCAAGAAGAAAGCCCCCAGCCTGGCCGGGAGGGGCCTGGGGGTGGGCCCAACCTGTTCTGGAAGGGGAATTAGCACAATGGTGCGGCTGGCCGGGCGTTTATGGCCTGGCTGAGGCCCCATTCAGGACTCGAAGAAGGTGGCAAAGCTGTCCTTTCCCCCTTGAAGTGCCCCCTTGCCCCCCCTTGGAGGGGGGGCCAGCAGGCCGGACCACAGCCATGCTTGAGGGGCCGTCTGACAAGCAGCTGTCTGCGGCAGTGGAAGGGGAGGTCCCCCCGCAGCGGGAACATGAAAGGGACAGGCAAGGTCCCGCGGGGAGAGCGATTTGTGGGCTGTGGGCTGTGGGGGGGCGTGGGGCTGCTTTTGTACAAGGCTGGAAGGGGGACATGAGAGGAGGGGGCTTTGGGGGGGCCCTCTCTGCTCCTGACCTGGAACAGACAGCCAGAAGGAGGCTGCCCGCCAAGAGGGGCGGAGGGCCTGAACCTGGGCCAGGAGGTTGGGGGCTGGGACAGGCTGGACCCCACTGAGGGTCCTGGGCCAGCCAGACTCCACCCCCTGGCAGGGAGGCAGGTCCCCCACCCCAAGTGCTGGCCTCGGGTTTGTCCAGGGTGGGGTGTGGGAAGGCATGGCTTCCCGGAGTCCTGCAGATTTGCTCTCATAGGCTGGGAGCCAGTAAATGAGCTGAAGTTGGAAATGAACAGGGACACACTTGAAGGATTAGTGAACCCCGAGCAGGTGAAACTGCTAGGCCTGGAGGATCCACTCCCCGCCCCCTTCAAAGTGAGACTCGCCACCCTAACAGACACTGACTGGCTGTCCCAATGGCTCTGGCTGGGCCTGGATAAAGGGGACTGAGGGATCTGGAGGAAGGAAACGCCTTCAACACAGGCCAGCAGGAGCCTGGCAGAGAAACGTGTCGGTGCTGGAGCAGAGGGTGTCACCGGCGACTGGGAAATGTCACCCCAGTGTGCATCTTGCTGGAGCAGGAGGGCAGGAAGGCTCTGGCTGTCCCCCACTCAGGTCACAGGTGGGAAAGGAGGGACACAGCCTGCAGGCTCCGTAGCTAGCCTGGCTCTGTAGGGGGCGCCGGCGCCAGAGCCTCTACCCTCCCTGGGAAGTGGGCAGTGTGAGCCTCTGTTACATTGTAGCACAGGCAGGTGGCCTGGTAGGAACAGCCACTGGGCCACTGGTGATAGCGCGGGTTACTTCCCTCTGCTAAGAAGGGGCCTCCCCTCTAGAGAAGGAACTCTGGCGGGGCACTAGCTTCCCTGAGGTCCCGGAGCACCCGGGGGCAGAGGCAGGGTCTGTGGGCATGAGCGCCGGCCTCCTCAGTTTATGCTGTAAAGAAATGCTTACAGGAGCCCTGCAGAGCCTGAATGGAAGGGGGCTTAGAGCCCCAAAATGCTCTCCGGTGACTTGAACAAGCCAGGTGCTGTGTGTGCATGTGCATGCATATGTGCGTACATGTGTGCATTGCATGTGTGCGCACACATGTGTGCATGTGCTGGGGTAGAGTCCTTGAAGGCCAGTGGGGAGGATTAAGGAGAAAACTGGTTGTCCTACCTAATAGAGCCAAGACCCTGGAATTCTGGGAGGAGACAAGTTCTAATCCCAGAGGGAGGCCAGGGTTCCTGGCTCTAATTAGCCGCGTAACCCTGCATGCACCCTGCACAGCACGCGGAGTGAGGCTACCATGACCCTGAAGTTTCCCTTCAGCTCCCAGAGTCATACTTCCAGGTCTGCTTATACCACCAAGTGTTCCCCCAAGGCTGGGCAGTCACCTGTCCTCTGCTCCAGGATGGACAGGGCACCAAGGTCATGACTGGCTCACCCAGAGGAGGTCCTGGCCATATGCCCCCTGAACCCTGCAGCTCAGCCTGGCGGAATAAACGGCCTGCCCCTACCACTCTCGCCTCCGCACCCCTCCCCTGGATGGACCAGCGGTGGTGTCTCCCAAAGCAAATTGACACTATTTTTCCCTTGGTAACCGCAAAGGGGGAGAATCACCCGTCTCCTAATTTTAACCAGTACGTGAGGGACCAGGGCGCCATGACTGACCAGCTGAGCAGGCGGCAGATCCGCGAGTACCAGCTCTACAGCCGGACCAGCGGCAAGCACGTGCAGGTCACTGGGCGTCGCATCTCCGCCACTGCTGAGGACGGCAACAAGTTTGGTGAGACCCAGCCCCTACCAGAGGCCACCCAATCCCCCGGCCGGCCTCACCTCTGACCCTGCGTCAGGGCAGAGACCACAGTGGCAGGGAAAATTTCTCAGAGGACAGTGCACAAGGGTCTCCCAAAGGGTCTCCCAAGTAGACTAGTTGGGGGGGTGGGGGGTGGCCTGCCTCACTCCTGGACTGGCAGCCCCCATGGACAGAGGTCTTTCTTCCCCTCCCCATCGTCACAGCCAAGCTCATAGTGGAGACAGATACGTTTGGAAGCCGGGTGCGGATCAAGGGGGCTGAGAGCGAGAAGTACATCTGTATGAACAAGAGGGGCAAGCTCATCGGGAAGGTGAGGCCTGAAGGCAGGGGAGTAGATGAATGAGTTGTATTGGGGTGTAACTGCAGAGACCCCAGCAGCATCCACTCCCCACCTCCCTACACAGGACTAGGACTTCTATTTTTACCCCAGCACTTGGTCACTAGTCCAAGTGACCATTTCAATGAATCCCCGTGGGTCTAGGAGCCCCCTGAGGGCACTGACTGATCCATAAGCATCTTCGCCTCTGATTTAGTGGCTAATTTCCCACATCAACAAGTGAATCTTGCCATCTTCATGCTGTTGCAACCTCTGTGTTAAGGGCTAAAGGTTAATCAGTGTGTAGAGTTGGACACCCGTAGTTAAGTTCAGAAGCTCCCCCAAGTTGGTCCACTGGTCCAGCTAGCAAGATGTATTGCACCTGCCTAATAGGTGTGGCCACCTGCCAGCTGCACCCCTTCTGGAATGGTGGCCCTAGCACCAGTGTATAGGGAGACCTCCCTTTCCTTTGGCATTGGTCAATCCTGGCTTCCATTCTAGGTTTCTCATGAAATGCTTGTTTTTGTCAAGCCTCAGGCTCCTCATTTGTAAAAATAGGGTCGCATCAAAGTTATCCACAAGGTAAATGGGCAGTGGTGTGGCTCTTGACATAGTCAAGCTCTGTCAGTGGTTATCCCTTCTTTTCATCAGTCTGCTGCCTCTTCCCCTGCCCTCCCCAGCAACACCCTTCACCCAGACTGCAGAGAAGCGCATATCCAAGTGCCTGCTGAGTTTGCACTGAACTGCACATAAAGACTAAGGTCTTTATGTTATAGAGCAGCCCCGATACTAAACAGGTTCCTGGCTGTGGGTCCTCACCCGTGCGCTTAAAAGGGACTTATTAATACTCCACTACAGGCACACACGAAAGGTTAATAAAAGGTTTATTTACAAGGGAAAGGGAATTGAGGAAATGTACAACTCAGGGAGAAAATAGGGAAATAAAGTCTTTAATGCGTCCTACCCGATCCGCCAACCTGGAAACCCAAAGGCACTCTCAGAGCTGGCCGGACGCTGCGAGCTGGCCGAGAGCCAAAATGGGGGACCCCCCCCCCAAAGCCCACGTGTCTGCCTTTTATATCCACCTGGCTGCTTAACCCCACCCTCAGGTCCCAGCCACCTTCCCTTTGGTGGTGATGGGATTTGGAGTTCCCAGTGTCTTTGGCTTTGGCCTGGGGTGTGGGGTGGAGTCCACAAAGCCTGTATGGAATTAGCTTTAGGACAGCCTTTTCCCCCTAACATTTATGCCACATCTGGGGAAACTGAGGCTCAGCATGCCTGAACACCATGTTCAAGACATATAAGCCCATATTTAAGTCCAGACGTGATTCCAAGCAAAGCTGACACCTCCTTCCCACCTTTGCCTCTCTAACGCAGCCACCCATTTCACCAGGCAGGTTTCTCTGAGTCTACAGTTCCTGTTGCTCCCTCCTCCATCCTACAAAATAGGCCCAAAAGGCAGCCAGCACAGGCAGGGTGGACAAACCCCCCTCCTCTCCTTCCTTCCTCCACAGCCCAGTGGGAAGAGCAAAGATTGCGTGTTCACAGAGATAGTGCTGGAGAACAACTACACAGCCTTCCAGAATGCCCGGCATGAGGGCTGGTTCATGGCCTTCACGAGGCAGGGGCGGCCACGCCAGGCTTCCCGCAGCCGCCAGAACCAGCGAGAGGCCCACTTCATCAAGCGCCTCTACCAGGGTCAGCTGCCCTTCCCCAACCACGCAGAGAGGCAGAAGCAGTTCGAGTTTGTGGGCTCAGCCCCCACCCGTCGGACCAAGCGCACTCGGAGGCCACAGCCCCTGACGTAGTCAGGGACACAGGGGCAGCTGCCCCTTACCAGCCTTCCCATCCCCTTCCTGTCCTAATCCAAAATCGGGGCTGGGGTGGAGGGATGGGAGGCAGAGCCGCCCTGAGGACACTGCAGACAGCACCAGAGCCCCCAGCTGGAAAGGGGCAGGACTGCCACAAGCAGGGCAGATGCCCGGGCGGCCTCCAGAAATCCCATACTGGAACAGGCACCCCCGGGGCAGTGGGCAGACCCCCCAGGAGGGGACGTGTGGCGGCTCCCTGAAACAAACGGAAAGGTCAGCAGGTTGAAGGCCTTGCAGACACTGTCTGGAGGTGGCTCCCGTGTCCCTCACTCTGCCCTCAGCCTCCAAATTCTTCCCCGCCAGACAGTAGGAAGGGATTTTGGGTTTTGCTTCAGGAGAAAAGAGAAAGGGAGGGAACAGGGTTGGCCATTCTCCACCTGCCTTCCATTGCCCAGGCCTGCATGCCCGCCCCTAACTCCCAGTCCCAAAATAAAACCATTTTCCTGCAAACGGGTTCTCTGAAGGGGGGTTGGGCGGGGTGGAGGGCCGCGTCCAGGCTCCCCCGGGAGCAAACTTGCTTCTCCGAGAGGTGCTGACCCTGGAAGACGAGCGCGGGCCGGAGCGGGCCCGCGGGCAGCAGGGAGGCGCGCTCGGGGTAGCCGGCCGAGCCGCGCGCTGCCGCAGGTGGCCGGGGGCACCCCCGCCGCGAGGGGAGGTAACAGGTGGGGGGGCCGCGCCCTCCGCCCCACGGGAGGCTGGCGGCCCGGGCGGGCGGGCCCAGGCCCTGGGGACCGGCGGGCGCGCCCCTCCCTCCGCCGGGCTCCGGTTTCCCGGCCTTCAGGGCGCGTCCCGTGCTACCTGCAGGGGTGACGAACACCCAAACCCCGCGACCTGCCGGGGCCGGGCCGAGCCGGGCGTCCAGCCGGGGCGCAGGCCGGGGCGCGGGGCCCGGGGGACCCTCTGGCCGGCGCCCGCGGCGGGGTCTGCAGGAGCGGCCGGGCGGCCCCGCGGACGCCGAAGCCTCCTTGGCCGGACCCAGGTTACTTTTTTCTGGTGAGGAGAGGCGGGTGGGGGAGGAGGCTCGGCGGGCGGCGGCGGGGCGTCCTCTTACTGTCCCAGGTCCCCGCTGGCGGCCGCACCTGAGGGGGGTCGCAAACGGAGAGGGCGCCCCGCGGGGCCTGCCCGGTGGGCTTCCCAGGTGTGCCTGTGCCGGTGGGACTCAGAGGCCACGAAGCCTGCCTTGGGGGCGCTCGGGGGGAGCCCTGCCCAGCAGCGCAGGCGCGCGCACCCCCAGTCTGCGCTCGTGGAGAAACACCTCCGGCGCCCGCTTTGCTGATTGACGGCCCCCACCCCCACCCCAGCCTCAGTTTCCCTTTCCTCTTGTTTCTGAGCAAATGCTGAGCGTGGGCATTGTGGAGAGAGAACCAGGGCGAAAACGCTCCCGTCTCTCCACCTCTCCCCAAAATCGCCTAAAAATTAGGACAGAATGGGAAGTTGGGAGGGGCCTCGTTAGTCCAAATGGGAGGTGAGGGAAGCCGCAGGCAAGTTGATGGGCCGTGGCGAGGGGGCGGGGGTCACTCACCTCTCCCCGAGTGAGGACTGGAGCAAAGTCTGACACCCCCAACTCTGGGCAATTGAGCTGGCAGCAGCTAAGAGGAAAGGCCCCCAGGCCCCGGGACAGACATTCTCCCTCCAGCTTGTCATAATTGCTTTTCACCAGGTTGCTTTTTTTTTCTCTGCCCCTATCACAAAGAGCCTTAATCCTGGTGGAGACCTCGGGAGACCCAGACGTGTTGGGGGTCGTTATAGGGGGTGGAGGTTGTAGGAGGGTGGTCTGTAGCCACAACTGATAACTGGTGAGTTCAATGAGATTTAAAACACAGGGGCGACGCCCAGCAATTACCTGAGGACAAAGGGTTGGGAGCCCCCAGGTGTGGAGGACTGGACTTTGTGGGGGCTAGGGGAGGGCCGGGTAGGAGGAGTGTTGGAAAGGGGGAACTCTTACAATCCCTCTGATTTCCGCAGGAATTTGAGACTTTCTTTAAAACTCTAGACTGCCTCCCCCCACAGGCTCTCAGCCCCACCCCCACCCCTCCCTGGCTCGGGTTAGAGACAGCTTCAAAGGTGGACAGGGTCCTTTGTCTGGCCTCTGCTTTCTTCTCTGCCTTTCTCCAGCCCCTCCCTCCCTCTCTTTGACCTCCCCAGCACAGACAGGCCTCTGGGGGCCGGCTCCAGAAAGCCCTCTCTGTTTCCTTTCTTGCTTTTTGAGGTGAGACCTGCCAGGGAGGGGCAGAGAATGGGGAAGGCCAAGGAGGAGGGCAGCTTTGGAGGCCTGTGCCTTCTCAGAGTGTGCCCTGGCCCCACCCCAAACCTGGAGAGTAGCATTTCTGATGCCTGCTTGTAGCCTCAGGTCCCTGGCTTGGTTCTGGGAAACTTCTCTCTCCCCTTCATGCCCCTGCCCCATACCCAGTGTCTCTTCATACTCTGGGAAAATCTGCTCAGCTCATTCTGAACTGGCGATTCAAAGATGCTAGAAGGATGGAGCCAAAAGAATGAATCTCTGATAATGGCCCCTCAGAGGGACCTGATATGGATGTGGTGGGAAGACTTCCCCCAAGGACCTCAGACCATCCAGAGCTGGCTACGGAGACCCTGGTTGCTTGTGCATGAGTGAAGCAAACTTAGGGCAAGGTGATGCCTCCCTCTAAGGGAGGAGGTGATGAGGTGGAGCCAGATTGCAGTGGCCTACCTCAACCCTTGCGCCTGTTTAGGATTACCAAGGACTCTGGCTAAGAATAGCCTGCATATTGATCTCCTTTTCTCTGTCCTGTCCTCCAAACAGCCCACGAGGCAAAGGGGAGCCAAAGCAGGAAGTTGGAGAGGAAAGTCCACTCACTCTTTGGTGCCCACAAGCTGGCTACCACTGACGTCACTATTCAGCCCTGTCCCTCTGAGACCCATGGCCAGTGACCTCCCACTTACCAAGCCAAAGGACTGGCCTCAGTGGTTGTAGATGTCCTCAATCTCACAGCCCTGGTCTTTGCAGAGGACCATCCCTTCCTGAATCTCTCCTCCCTCAGCCTGCATAGCCTGTCCTTCCTTTATTCTCTACTCGCTGACTCTTCTCTTTCCCGCCTCCTGTTCATAGCAGTATTTCCTGAGATCTCTGCCATTCTCGTTTCCTCGTTCGTCATGTTGTCCCTCTTTTCTGAGCAATCTCAACATCTCAACTAACATCCCTAAGATCCCTTGGTTTGCAAAACCAAGCCCAAACTCTGGAGCCCTGCCAGAGTCACCATCTCAGTGAGTCTGTGGTAGCTTCCTAAATACCTCTCTGCCTCCTGACCCAGGACACCACACAGTTTGTTCAGCTTCCCTTGCCCTGCCATGAACATCAGCTCTGCCCACAGTTCACAATCTCTGCAAACTCCTTCATGTCATTTTCAAGATTCCAGCACAGTCATGTCCCGACCCCCTTCCCAGTCCTTTTTTTTTTTCTTAAGATTTATTTATTTATTTATACAAGAACTGGGGTACAGGCCAGAGGTGTGAGGATTCACCAGAGACAGAGTGGGGAGCAGAACAGGCAGATTGGCTGAAACACACTGCTGAAGGGAGCCGTGGGCGAGTCAGGAGAGGTCTGCTGCGCCATGTGGGTATCTTCCTGGCCAGCCGGGAATTGAACCGGCGCTGCAGAGGCTCTGGACAGCTTCACAGCACTGCACTCAACCCACTGCACCACCAGGGAGGCCCCCCTCCCAATTCTATCCCTCCATACCCCCTACCTTCAAGAATACTGGCGAAACTGCAACCCTTGCCATTCAACAAGCAGGCTGCGCCCATCCTTGTCTGTGACATTCCCACTGCCCAGCATGCTCTTCCAGAACATCTGTGCATCCACATTATAGCTGTCTCCTCTGTACCCCACTATCCTCTGCACCCCACTCTCTCGGCAGAAGTGGCATTCTTTGCAGCTGCTCGTATCTCTGGCCGTGGACTTGCTTATCCAGAACTGTGCTTATTTGTGCTGGTGTCATCTTCATTGCTTAGCAAGCACTTCAAATGTAGAAATACTGTGTGCCTCCCCCCCAGTATCCAGCATTCACATTACAGACTTTTTATTATGGGAATAAAGTAACTGAAGGTCCAGAAAGAAGGTATGCAGAATGCAGCATCCTGCATCCCCTCAAGCCCAGACAAGAAACCAGATTCCTGCCTTCTTCCTTGCATTGATGTGGGTGGGAAGGAGACCCAAGTAATCAATCAAAATCTTTCTTTCTTACAATGCACAGGTACTGTGTTAGCCTTCGGTCACTAAAAAAGATGGACAGGATCCTGTGTCACCTCCATCAAGCTCTCAGGCTCTTGAAACTTAATTCAGGAAATCAACCTATAACATACAGTTCTTCTGTGGGGCTTTTGGAAATGTCTTCCCCACCCCACTCTTGTCGTATATGGAAGACAGCGAAGTGGCATGTGATATATACCCAAGAGTGAAAGGGTAGATCAGAGCTACTGGAATAAGGACAATGATGGATGCAGGCCTCAGAGGTGTCCCAGGCAGCTCCCACGGCATGCATCACTTGTAACCCCTTATTTTTTTTTTTAGAGGCATGTTTATTTATTTGTTTGTTTGTTTGTTTGTTTATACAAGCACTGGGTACAGTCAGAAGCCTGGAGGGTGAGAGAATTCACCAGAGCCAGAGCGGGGAGCAGAGCAGGCAGAAGGACCGAAGTACACTGCTGAGGGGAGCAGCGAGCGGCAGGAGAGGTCTGCGCGCCATGTGGGACCCTCCTCTGGTGGCCGGGGAGCAGCCGGGGATCGAACCCGCGCCGCAGAGGCTGCGGGCAGCTTCGCAACCCAACGCTCAACCGCTGCGCCACCGGGGAGGCCCAATTATAACCCCTTATTTAGGGGTGACATGATCCCCGTGTCATGTGTGGGCATGCTCTAACTCAGAAGCTGAAGACCATCACAGTCAGTCACTGCTGGTGATGCTACCATTTAGACTCCCCGCAGTCCTCAGGCCTCGAGGGGTTGCTGTCCACCCCGGCCAGGCTCACAGACACAGTGGGTGTAAAGGTGGAGCACACACAGAGGCTCTTGGGAGAGCCTGGAGTTTGCACAATACTTAAAAATGAGTGGAATTT